CTTGAGTTCTACCTGTGAATTTCTAGTTTCAATCCTCAATGGGGTTTCAGGATTGGCACTGCTGATCAGATCCAATCAGGTCGAAACGGCTGTCCAAGTTTTTCGATTCACCCTCCGCTTTCTCCGTACATGCCAAACTTCACTGCACATCGATATAAAGTTTCTCTAATTTATCAAACGCGCTCAGATATCAAACACCTGTTTTACGAAAAACATAAACTACCTATTTTATCCATCAATTATTGTTACTATTATTATTGTATTTGTATTTCCACTTGATTAGTTGTCCCCCCCCCCAAAAAAAAGAAAAAAAACAACAACCGGAAAGACAAAATTTCAAGAATTCGGTACAATTGTTTCGAATCAGTTTCATCAAGATACAATCACGCACATACACACATACACACACATTGTCAAATTGTTTCGCGCTAGGCACAAAAGCTCTCTTTCGACTTCGCGCACATTTCTCCCTGTACACGACACGGTGTTATTTATCAGCGATGCGAAGCCCCCATGCCGTTTCAACTTTCATTGTCATTTGCCATCATCCTGTACTTCCGTATGCTCCTCCCCACTTTGTTTCTCTCTCTCTCTCGCCTCGCATGCTGATCGACACATCGAGACAACTGTTGTTAGTTAGCTGTGTGATGTCATTCCATAGCTATCATTCTGTGCAATCAGTTTAACTTCCGGCCTAATTCAGTCTTATTTATACGATGTTCGATTGTGGTGAAAGGAATTCGTTGACAATGAACTGAACTTGCTTGAGACTTGTACACAAGATGTGCCGGATTGGGTATACATTCATATATACATGCACACACACACACACACACACACACACACACACACACATGTATGCGCGTGCGCGCGTACAAACACCCGTGCGTATTATGTTTTATGAATAGGAATGGGCGCGCAGTTTAGACTCTGACGATTCCAGGATGTTGATATTTGTTTTGCTAGTCCGCGCACTTACATTACACCCACTCACATCGATCGCGATTCAGGTCACTGCCCAAACGGAAGTACCCCACACACTTGATTGTCCATGGTGTAGTTCAGATGATTGGCACCTGTACGCGCAGATGGATACACACACACACACACACGCTAGAACACACCCATGTGCGCACAATAATCGCACAAGACCGCCCAGTTCGATAACAAACAGGATCAAGAGATTATCATTCTAAACTTTGCCCGGGGTGGGGGGTATTTCTGTGCGGTTCACTAACCAAAATGTCCCCCGTGTGCAACTTGGTTTCAATACAGATCCTGTCAAAGTGATATTCAAATTCGTAAGAAGATAGTATGTTTAGTCTATCTGGTCTATGTGATTATCGCATTGCTCGAAACCACCTAGTTTGATGATCTCATCTGATCCGGGCTGATGTGATGAGATGAGAGCTGAATTAAGTGGAAAATAGGGAATCATTCGTGATTTCCGTTCTACGTGTGGCAATGTCAGTGTGTAGTTGGTGTCCAGCTTGCAGCGCAGTTATGACATGCGGCTAACTGAAACGGATGCAGACAGATGTCGGACTCGAATCCAGTTTCGCAACAGTACAGGGTAGTCGTTACTTCACTGATTTCCATTTTAACGGTGTGCTTGCATTCTGTTGCGCCCAGCGAATCTCCCGCCGGTGTATTTTTGTCGATGAAAAACTATAGTGGGGCCTGTATTGTTAAACGCAACGAAATACAGACGGGGATACGGGCTGATTTTGTGTGTGTGTGTCTGTGTGTCTGAGTGTGTCGTTCCATAATACAAATATGTGCAGAATACTGTAGCGACAAGATACTGAATAATGGAAAATAAATTTCGGACAAGTAGCCAGTGAACCTGCATGAGAAAACAGGCTAGTTTTTGTTAAATTTAAATTTATTTCTCGGTTGATATTTCATACTATATCAAGATTGCATTTTGCTCCCTTTGTTTACACAAACAAGATGCACGAAGTAACGCAATCAAACAACAGAGATGGGACAACTCATGTAAAATGAAACACTTCCGTGATGGACGCCTGTCATTTTAACAAGGAACTTACTTCCGATTCTTTGTTTAACTTGACATCAGTTTGGCGCCGCACTGGCGCGGTACTTTAATTTCTTCTATGTCATTTTACAATTGACTGGCGGGAGGAAATGTATATACGTTTTTTCCGCCTACCCTTCCTCCTCCCTATCCCCGAGACACTCGTTTCACAAGATCCAAATAAACTTTGACTAAGTTGTCATGACAACGATGTCAAAAAACGAGCACGGATGGGTAATTTTGTTCTACTCTAATCTTCACTATATGGTCATGTTTTTCTCCAATTTCCAAACGGAACCATCACAATTTTGAACTTATTACCGGCACAGTACACACTTCAACATAAATTGTGCAACCTAAAGTTTTTGCTTTCCCTATTCATGAATTGTATATGTTTTGGGTAATTGGTTTCAATCTAACGTACAATAGAGGATAACTTTAACAAATCCTCGACCGTAGTCAATGGAAAACTCACAGATGCTTTATAACATTACCTGTGTGAGCGTCCAGTGAGAAGTGATCATGTGACATACTGGTTGTCCAACAATGCTTTCACCACAATAGAGTGAAACAACACAGGCCATTACACATTTGGAATCGATTTGTTGGCGACTAGCTCCATCCATCCCCACAAGCGGTATTCAACCAGAAAATAGGTGGGATTAGGTTACAGAAAATTCTTCTCGGTTAACTACCCTCCTAATCTCCGTTCGGATCCCACATGAATAACAAAGTAGCATACATTGTGTGCCGGACGGACTACTGGGAAGAGGGGAGGACGGCGCTGAAACGGGCCAGATTCGGTTGGCGTGAGAACACCGAAATCCGTCACGCAACTATTTTGTTCAGTCGCATTTGAAATTCATAACAAAACTTTCGTCGAAACGATACGATTTCGGTGGTGTGAGCGAATGAGCTATTTCTGAATGTGATTCAATCAGACGAGTAAGTATTTATTGAACATGTTTTACTATTTACAAAAATAGAATATATGATGAATTCGTTGTGTGTATGGAAACGAGAACTGAAAATCTGGGGGATCACTGAACTGCTGTTTCGATCTGGTTGGGCCTCATGAGCAGTGCGTGAATCCAGAGACCTAACTGGAGACTCGAACCCGGGACCTTACAGACAGAAAACAAGCGTACTTCCCTCTGGGCCATTGGGCTGCCGGTTCGATCGTTTCTCATTTCAAATATACACCATATAGCACAACGCATCTTTGCGAGTTTGTCACGGGTATCGGTCGTTGTTCATATCAGCACTTGCCTCCAGGGTTCTGACTCGGTTGGAAACTTTTGCAACCTGACTACTTGTTGTATGAATGTCTCAGTTACGCCTCAATTGCACGATGAATTCATCAAACCAAATCCTCCAACACTGCCCTGCGAAAAAGAGAATAGTTATCTTCTGTGGGTCGAGTATGTAACAGACTTGGGTCAGCAACCTTTAGTTTACCGACAGCCTTCAGCTGTTTATCAGCACTGCTAGTAAACCAGGACTAAAGTTACTCAAAGCTATTCACCTGACTGATCGCCTATTATTTTCACATCTAATCCTCTATCCCATCTAGTTACTTTGCAATTATTTGGAATTCTGTTACTCGCTATTGTTTAAGCTCATCAGTGCTGAGCATCCCTCCTCCGGTCATTCGAGGCTTCCCGGCCCCCTCACTTGGAAGGTGTATGTGTCGAAATGGCACGACTAAGAACCTCATGCGTAGTACTTTTGAGTAACGGTGGGTTGAATTGAAACCCCCTTTGTTTGGTCAATGTTTGACTGAAGCCTAATGACATTTGCCGTGATCTACTTTGAATTTGCAATCTTATATCACATTTATGCAACAAAAGTTTTTGTCCTCTCGAAGCTAATAAATCACACTATTCTTCTTGAGAAGTTCTAAAACTTGCAAGACATTCATTGCCGAGAACTGTCGGAACAATTTTGCTTTGGTTTGTGAGAGTTTTCGTGTTAGTGTGTCTGTAGGTTCACAGTATCAAAAGCGTTTTGTCGTTTGTCATCACTGAATAAAATCAATACATCACCTACCCCATAAGTGACCGAATCACAACATATTCAGTTAGCTATTTCCGTGTGTTTCCTATCAGAAACAGATTCGCCAATCTGGGGATGCACACACCAGGTGCATCAATCTGTTGGGTTTTGGACTGACCAACCAAAGCGATTGTTTTAATCTGCTTTTACTTTTCAGCACATATAATCGATTTTCTTCCTCCATTATCTCCCTGTGATGATCTCAAAGGTGTAGGGGCTGGTAGTTTTTTTTACTAAAAATAGGCTTAACCAAGCCGGGAACGATGGAGCAAATAATGGATCCGCTTTTCACTGAACCGTGTCGCCCGACGCAGAACAATATTGTTTTCCCTCCCGATGACAGCTGATCTACTTTGAGTGGCACAAAGGTGGAAGAATGCGGATGTTGTGTGTGCGTGTGCGTGTGCGTGTGTTTCTGTCGAAGACAGTGAGTTGACCAAAATCGGATCAACGAGTAAGGTGCAGAAGGTGGGGGCGGGAATAGAGGAATAATCGTTTTGGCTAATAGGCTCCGAGACTGAACGAGACAGGCAAATATCACTCTACTCTCAATCCCTAACAACCTCGTTAGAAGACAAGCTGGATTTTGACATCCAGTAACCATGATTTTTGCTTCCGCATGGATCAATCCTCTTCTGATCGATCGTAACAGTTGGCGCGTGCTCATTCTCTCGAGATTAAATTTCGACGGTGTATGATGAAAATGCTAGAAAATTGATTTTTATCCGCCGCTAGGCTTGGTTCAGTGCATACATACTTCGGCGAAAAAGACAGACAGATTGCCCGCGGATGACGGAGAGCGAGAGAGAGAGAGTTGGAGTAAATAGTGTGACGCGTCTGATAACACTTTCTCCAAAGCGTTGAAGACATTCGGGGAATCTCATTTCCAGTATCAGGCTATTAATCAGGGATTTGTAATGTGAATGTTCTTTTGACTTTGACAAGCGAACCTGATGAACAGAAGAACCAATAAAGAGTATCATCGATGTTCCGCACACGAACGAATAAATGCATCGCCCAGTAGAAAGTAACAGTTCTTAAATTCTTTCTCCTTTTATTAACCAAGACCAGTGCCTGGTTCCAAGTGAGTAACTGGTGGCCGATCAAAAACTGAGTCTCATATAACAATGTACCAAAGTTTTACTGTGTGACTGACTCCGGTTCACATTGAAGTTGTCTTATCGCAACTAATACACATTGAACTTGAACCTTCGGATGGTTTAAGCGAATATTCCGCAATTCATATTCGTTCAATGTAACCGTAACAGTACCGATTCCAAACCACCATTTCTTCGTTAATCCAAAAATGCATTCTATCAGTAGCGTAGTCAGTCAGCGAGGAACACGTTGCAATGTCACAGTCTAATACATTGCGACACGAAGGATTTTCCCTTCCAATCACCGTGCTGAAATCGAAGTGAAATGAACTGACAGCGGGCACCGAACTCTGCGATTGCAACCAATTTCATGGGATCCCGTAACCACAATTCTACTAATCGAATACCACACAGGTAAACTGGTCAATATTAGAGTGAGAGTTTCTGGGAGTCCTCGGTAGCACATTGATGTTCTTCCCGAGGATTTCATATTTGGGTTACTGTTGCCACACGACCGATTACTGTTGTGCGTTTTCACTGTTTGCATACTCCAATGAATTGCCCAGCTCGGCGTTCACCTACGCCTACGCGTTGTGTGCATCACCTTTAACGACAATAGAATGATGAGTCACGTTGTATCAACAACAAAAACAATAATAATAATAATAATAATAATAATAATAATAATAATAATAATAAGAGGAAACTCACTTGTGATTTTTGCCCAACTTTTTTGCCTCAAAATCACAAAATGTGACACGGGGAAAATTTCCGGAATGAAACCATTCACGTCCTTTGATCAAATCGATGAGTACGCGTAGTCCGTAGAATGTGTAATTGTTACCAACAAATTTCTCCATCATGAACAACTGACCGACAATATTGGTCAAATATAAAACTTTGATGAAAAAATACAGCACGACCAGATAATTGCCATGTCGTTTGCCGCAACATCCCCACCCTGTCCCGGAACCGTCGGTACCCGCGCGGAATGTGCTTCGCTCACTCGAACAATATGTGGCCTGTCTGGCCTCGTCGTCAACCAATTTTCTTCTGCGTCCCTCAAGCATCGGATGTCCATCTGTTGTGCCACCTGCTGTCCGTGATTCCGGTGTACCACTGCCCGGTGTTGTGATCGCACCAGTCCCACTTCCCTCATCCCCGGTCATGTGACCAAGTTTTTTATTTTTTGCTACCTCTGAACTCACGGAGAAGCGTAGACGAAGACGATCCAGTAGGGAATTGGTTGGTCTCCGACCCCGTCGTGAACTGGTTGTGCCGGTTGTGTGATGCAAGGGTGTGCCACCATTCCCTCGGCCGTGACTATCGGGTGAAGGTGAGACGGGACCTGTTGGTGATCGGGTACCAAAGTTCCCGGTTTGGGCACTTGTATACAATGGGGGTGCGTGTGGAGGTGATGCATAGGGGGGAGACTGAGCATGAGGATGATGCAGATGATGCAAATGGTGATGAAAGCTCGAATGATGATGGTGATGATGATGGTGTTGCTGCTGTTGTTGTTGCTGCTGCTGCTGCTGTTGTTGTTGTAGCGTTAGGTGACCGAGACCGGTGTAACTGGTTGGAGAGTAACCAATCATTGCATTTGCTGACCGACGGCGCCGGTAGTCACGCTGACGGTAAATACATCCTTCCATGTATCTAGCAATAAATCGTACGTTTTTCATCGTATGTTCTGGCAAGAGCACATTGCTGTCACAGGCCATTTGGAGTATACGTCTCACATTGAAGCCTGACTGAGCCATAAAAAGTCGCCATATAAGGCAGGGTAGATAAAAGGCCATTGCCTGGATGGCCATCACAATTGGAGCCCATTGATAATAGCCAATCAGCAACATTTCTCGATCGGGAGCAGGGGGTAATCGATTTTGAATGGGTGCAAAATAAGTGTTGGATACCCAACAATAGTTTTCGGCATATTCTTCCCAGCCGCGGGTGAATTCTTGTGGGATCCAGCACTGGATCGGTTTGCCTAGAATAAATTGGATGCAAGGGAATGAAAAAAGGCATATTTTTATCAGTCGGTCACGGAATGCAAACAAAATATCATATTCTATTTACTATACATAAAGTCAAAGCATGCATTTCTCAAATTGACGGCTTAGATCCCCTTGTAGAGTTCTTTTTAATTTGCGACCGGTTGAACTTTTATCTAATCTAGAAGGTCTGAAACGCTCATCTGACTGAGTATATCAGTTTCACCCTGGTGTTTTATTTTGCTTGACAATTGAAACTAGTAGTCAAGAGACAATGGCATTTTGACAGATGCGAGTCAATGAGGCCCCACCCTCAGTGGGGAGCGGTCGAAGAGCGGAATTACCGTACACTTGGCATTGAAGTAGTTGACAGCTCATATTAAACAAAGAAGATCATTACTTGCTACACGTGAAGATGACTAATCGAGTAGCAAGCTCACATCGTCAGCGTGCCCTTAAACGATGCAGTTCCTCACATCAAATCGTGTTTGATCACCACCAAGAGAGAGATAGCAAGATAGAACAAGGGAGTTAAGCGTATATTATAATGAAGTAATCGCGGTCTCTGTTGGCTAGCAAGCTTTAACAATCATTTCCCCCATCAATGAGGCTTGCTGATGGGAAGTAACTGGTTCACTGTGAGACGTTTTAATCCACAGACATTTCTCTCGCCTACTAGTTGTTTGATTTGGCGAAATTAGCTAGAATTTTATAGAACAAAATGTTTGCAAGCCCGCGAATTCACATGCTAAACGAAACGAAACAAGGAGTATGCCCTCCCGATTTAAAGGATCACCTGATGCAGATTGAGTAATTCGTTGGCATGACTGTCCGGAATGAAATGCAATTTCATGAAATTGCTGTGTAGTGTGAATGGTCAACTGAGAGACAAAGATGAGAGAACAAACCAACAGATCACATTCTATAAACTATCCGGCTCAAGGCTTTAAAATGCCAGTTCACTACACACAATTTCGTGCGGAGATGTGAACGCAATCTTTGCCCTTAAAGTGCTTCATATCACAATGCTGGTTTTATCCCAGTTTTTACAAAGAAATTACTGTTTGAAACGATAAAAACCGTCGATTGGTTTCATTGAATACAAACTGCATTGGTCTGCACAATCAATTTTCTAGCATTAAAACATTTCATCTGAAGGTTGTCATTTACTGTAAATAAGGCGCGGAGCGAACGGGGCTCGTTTCACATCTGATTGGTACGCACCTGATAGAGAAAGGAGTTCTAGTGAAGAGACTGGCTCCAAACTCGCGCCATATTGACCTAGTTCCAGAACATCTGTTCAGACTCTGGTCGATAGTAACAATGGAGGTAATTTTCCTCAGCCTGTTAAAGCCAGAATTGTGTGCCAAAAAGTGGTGTGATTTCGCTGATCGATCACATGGCGGATGGGCGAAGTGATAACGTGGATCATCTGGCATCAGTCACCGAACCCGTTCCCGGGCGATTCAGAGAACTGCACAGAAGCTTGACTGGTTCAATTCACCTAGTTATCATCAATTGTTTTATCAGCTGTTTAATCGAACCACAGATCTCTCTCTCATTATTCTCCGATTTCACTATGATTGAGAATATGTGAACTGAAAATATGGACTTCCTACTGAAACACTTTGTAATTAGAAATTAATGTGCAATTCACC